AGGAGGAGGAGGAGGAGCAGGAGGAGGAGGAGGAGCAGGAGCAGGAGGAGGAGGAGGACGAGGAGGAGCAGGAGCAGGAGCAGTAGCAGGAGCAGGAGCAGGATCAGTAGGAGGAAGTACTTCTCCCCCTGCCGCCAAACTAAACACCAGCAGTCAACACAATATCACAATGTATATAACACTATCCTCTGTCAAAGGTCAAAACAATCTAAGTCCGCCAGGCCTTCATTGCCACCGAAGGTCGCTTCGCCGATCGACGGGACTTGGGTGCACGGAGCTCAAACTTAACGGCCCATGTTAACGCTCAGTCACACAAAGCCAGTTTCAAGGCCTTGTTGGCCCCTGTAGACGCAGAGGAACGCAGCAGCAGGCAACTGTCAATTTTGAAGTATTGCAGCAGAGGTCCATTTAGTTGTATGCAGTTTCGAAGCACAGTGACAGGCCAGCCGAGAAAGCAACCAAGCGAAATCTGGACTCTCTGAGGCGGTGCCGCTGTCAGTTTGCAGATGGTCTTTTCACTTCACTTGACATGCTGGCACATTGTGTAAGCCGATGGGAGGCTTGTGCGGAACCACAATCAGCACGCCAATACAGCTGTAATTGACATTATGTTTGGTATTTTTTTTGAATTGAATCTGCGTCTTGGGACTGCTACGGACGCTCCTTGTTTTGAGGCATTTTCACAAACTTTACACACCCCACTGAGCCCCGCCGCGCATACAGAACCGCAAGCTTTCCATTTCTCACTGACAATATTGTGAAATTGATGACAATGTGGCGGTGAATACAATCGATGACAACGTGAGAATGTTATGAAACTGATGCGAGTTCCGGGATACCCCTGGTTGACTCAATACATTGCAATATGATGATGCAATATGCAATATTCAATGCATTTGCTGTTTATGTGTTGCCTCCGTGCTGCTATTTCCTGCCGCTTTGTCAGGCAGAGGGCTGAACGTGCCTCTCAAGTTCGGCACGCAGCATTGACTATATTGTCAGTACACTAGTCTAGCCGTTAGCCTTCATCTCATCAACAATCTGCCTCTGGCAAAGACCCCAGTTGAGAAAACAAATCTTGTTACTAGTTCAAGAAGGAACAATGCCATTTTGGTCCCCACGTCTCACCCTCAAGTGCTTTCGGGGTCCTCTCTATTTTGCTGAAATAATAAGTCGACTTGTCAAGGTCTTGGCCAGCGAGCCCCTCCAGTTTCAGGCCAAGCAGCGAGCACGATTTTTCTGAACTTGAAAAGCTTGTTGCTGCTTGCTGTATTATCAGAGGTTGTGTCGGAGAAGGCTCTTCTTCGTGAAGACCCCGACTTGAATTGTGTACCGTAGCAAGCTGAGTGGATGTTTGGAATCGAGAGAGTGCCGAACCACAACGTTATAAAGACGTTCTTCACATTGTTGAACACGCTCAGGAAGCATACACTAGGGAAAGGACTGATTTGATTTCGTCAGTTTGCATTGCCATTGCATGCTATTGCTATTTGTATTGCTATCTATCTATCTATCTATCTGTCTATCTATCTATCTATCTATCTATATCGATCTATCGTTGGCGCATGCTTGCTCACAATATGTAGACTCTCAATGCAATGAGATGAGCATACGCCGGTACCCGGGTAGGCGAAGTGGTCAAAGGCTTCCCAAGTGGTAGCTGGCTGAGGTCGGGTAGCATTCAGACCAGAAACCGATCTCTTAAATTACATTATTATTAGGTTTGTAAAGACAATTCATCCATCTTCATGCTTTGCACCTACATCTCATGCAGGCTTGATCGAACTGATGCGGGCCCAGGCGTTGTATCTCAAGTCAAGCCGAACATTTATATAAAGAATGCCCTGACTCGTTTTCTCACAAACAGGTGTGTGAATGGTAGCAATAGGAGATCCAAACCTACTGCAGCATGCAATGCACTTCTCAGTTATTATGGCTGCCATGGCTATCATCGCCGCCACATCGCCAATTATATATATAATGGTAGCCCCCGCACCGCGTCCCACGCGGTCGCCGCGTCCCACGCGGCCTTTCACTCGCTCGGGCCTCAAAGTCCCTGCACAGTCGCTCGTTGACACTCCTATTAAGTGTTTTTGTACACACGTCGAATGGTGCTGCCGGGGATGACAGACTGGCTTGCTTCATGATGCATTCCGCGGGCGCGGAAGTAGTCGACCAAATCTCGCAAGGCCGGTGATCCACTCTGGTAGTGGGACTGGCAGTAGCTACGATAGCTGGCCAAATCTTCGCTCGTGCTTTCAAACATTTCAGCATAGCTCTTGGAGCCCTTGTACTTTCCAAAGGACACCACCGTCTTTCCCCAGTGGGTGATTGTCGACACCCCATGTGGCAACTCGCTACCAGGACCTGGGCTAGGGATCAGGTTCTTCTCGGAAGGCATCGGCGGATCAGCAGTTGTATAGCCGGATCCGTACGTCACTGGTGTTGATGGAGCCCTGTCCTCACGCAATCGCTTCGATCCATCCGACATAGAGCCAGAAAGGGAAGGAGACCAAGCTTCGTCCAAAGCCAGATCCTCAGCATCACGAACCCGGTGCATGATGGCATCCCATGCACCACACTTCCTGGCCTTCATGGTAAGGCGGAAGCACTCCTCTGCCTCCGCTGGAGTGAAGGCACTCTGTCCGGTGGACATCGCCATGGTTCCTCTGTCACAAGCGAAAGGATGACACAAGTGGCCGTCGAAAGTTGGAGAACCTTGTTGAGCCATGTGTGCATATATTTTGGCGTCACCATACATTTAAGACGCTAAGGAGTGATATACTTCAAGCACATGCTCTATGGACTAGCCATTAACTGTATCAAGGCAAAAATCTAATTACGCATTGAGGATCACAAAACTGCACTTCTACCTATCATTCTCCCGAGATGACACATACCCATGAGTGCTTCAAGCACTCTCCCCAGGCCTATTATGTCACTCATTCGAATGGTGTGCGGCAGGTCTTTCCATGTTCATGCTATCCTCAACACGAGACTGCGATTTCGAGTTAGAGGCAAACTGTTTTCGTCTATCACGTTCTTGGGCTCTGCGCTGCAAAACAAGCTCCTCTGGGCTTATTTGGTATCGGGCGGATCTCAAGCAGGCTCTCAACAAGTCAAAGGCCTCTGGGCTTTCTTTTGTTAGAGCATCAGCCAACATCCTGTTTGTCGGGATTCTTAGTGTCGCTTGCATTCGACGAATACTGTCCCTGAGTATGACGATGTCGATGGCGGTACGCCTATCGTCCAGGGTTGGTGATGACTGGGAACTCAGGTGGTCGTACAAGGACTTGCAATCCGTCACAAGCATAGTTAACCGGTTTCCCAAACTACCCCATAGGCTTTGTGGGCACCTAGAACCGTCTAAGGCCTCTGAAAGGATGAGATTGGTCCATTCCAACGTGCTAGAAGCAACCGACATACTTTGGGCCTCTGCACTCAACGTTGAAGAAACAACCCTTGGTAACCTGAAGCTCTTCCAATACGCTGGAGACCATTGGCAGTCTTTACCTAGATTCACATCTTTATGCGCAAAGCTTACGATGAAACCTGCTTGCGTCGCTCCTGCTTTGGCGTTCGCGAACGCTGCATCTGAATGACACATGAGAGCCAGGTCATCGGGACCAATGGCACAGAAACGAATCTCTTGATCCGAGTGTTGTTTTGCACGTCGGACCGCATGGTTCGCAGCTATGGCATCTTCCACAAGGTTGTGGAAAGGATTGTTGCGAGAAGGACACCTGAGTTGCTAGGTCTGGTCTGGATTGGTTTGCTAACCAGTTCAAACTGCCATTAATGGCTCTGAGACAACTCACTTCTTTGGCATCGAGCGCAACGTCTCGAACACGAGCCCTTTCCCGACTGAGGTGGAGGGGTCTTACCTTCTCCTTGGCAAAACGGCTCTGGCTCATGGTGATTTCATGTGTATTGGGGTCCTGAAAGTATTGACTACCACAAAAATCCCCAGACCCTTCTCTCCATTTTCTGAATTCGAACACCCGTTGAAGCTCTTGGATGGCTGCTGAGTATTTTGGTCCCTGTCCTCCGGTCACACAATCATCGACATGAACTCCATAGATACCGGTCAGTTTTCCTTCTTCCCGAAAGTAAAAGAGACAAGAATCGAATCGTGACCTTTCGAAACCAACCCGAGTTAGTTCTTGGTACAGCTTCTTATACCATGCGGTTGGCGAGTCGTTCAACCCGTACACGTGTCCACAGACCTCTATCAGGGCATCTTCGGGAACTCCAGGAATGCCACCTTTTGCGAGGCTAGCGTAGAGAGGGCGGTACCGTTGTGGCAGATCACCTGCTGCTAGGAATGCCCCTTTTACGTCCCCCAAGGACATACTCCAACGAAAAGATATCACAGAAACTGAAGATCAGATTACGTCCGACCTGACTTAAGGTGGGACTCTGAAGATCGCCTTGCATGGCCTTCTCACTGAGATCTGGGTCCAAGTGGCCCTGAAGGCACCAGCGTGCTTTCATGCGTGGTGCCGAGTCATCTTCTTGCTTCACCGTGATGACGTATCGACTATACCCATGATTCGGTCACTGTGGCGTTTACGTACTCCCTCGGCTTCGGGTCCTAGGACTAATCTGGCTGCATGCTTAGCTAGGATGGTGTTCCATTCCAACAATTTGGCCTCGTCGATCTTAATCTGGATTTCGGTTGGATTACCTGACACGGGGAGCTCTTTGGCAGCCTTCTTTTTGAGGTATGTTGCTACAAGAACTTCATGTGGCGTTCCTTCACGATACATGGAGATCAGTTGATTTAGGTCCTCTAGACCTGCTCTGCCTCTCGTGGCAGTACTGGGGTCGCCTGGACAAGGAGAGCCGCAAGGATCCTCACGCATGGCAGCACTGCCAAGAGCGAGCCGGACGCGCACAGCGGAAGTACATGGGCTGGGACTCAGAGGAAGAGGTCGTAGTGGAGGACGAACACTCCGCAGACCTGACGAGGAAGCCGGCTTGGGCTCGCGTGGCCAACAAAGGTGCGAAGTTGGCGGCGACCATGCCCCGGAAGCGTCCAACCAAGAAGGCCAAGCAGCCCACGAAGAAGCCTCAGAAGTCGCGACCGCAGAGGATCTCTTCAAGTCCCACCCCGGAGGTGAAGCGTCCTAAGCGGAAGCAGCCCACATCGTCTTCGAGCAGCGGGCGACACCACAAGAGACGACGCGGAGGTCGCGCTATCTACGCGCAGGTCGGCTGAGCACTCGTTTTGCACGCGGTGCCTGGAGGAAAAAGAGCCTTGCGCGCAGGGGACCGGGCGGAGCGTCAACACGTATATATATAAAAAATATAATATTTGTTGTACACGTGTATATATGTATGTATCCCTGACCTTCCATCGTCGCCGTTATTCATGACAGACGCTATTTTCACACCATCGTCGCCAAAATCCGGGAACGTCGTTCGAGGCCCTGTTGGGCTCAATCGACAGAACTCATCTCTTCATTGCCATTTTCCTGATCAAGGGTTCAGCTTTCAGGGAATAAAGATGTAAAAACTACAAAGAGCTCTCCACCCAAATGTTCACGCTCAAAGAAACCCTAATCCCAGCCTCACTTTTGCCTTTGCATGCTTCATACGTAGTAAACATCTGCGCAAAATGCCCTTGTGCAATCGATATCTATGGCAATTCTTTGCAAGTCCTGCAGCCACAGCATCAGAAACAGATGTGCAGGTGTGGGAAAAAGAAGCGTCCTTTCACAAATCTCATTTGGTCTTCGTCCGGTAGAGTATGCTCATATCTGAAATTGTATCCTCATGGCAGATTCGAGGCCAGTGGGGGAGTGGACTCAGACAAAGAAGTTGGTGGTGGAAAGGCAAGTTCATCCAAGGGTCTTCTCGCAAAGGACTCAAGGACTTGGTGGAATAGGGCCTGGGAAAATCTGAGAGTGTTTCACTGCAACTCTACCCCCTGCTTTGAGATCCAGACATGGCATTTCGGGATTTGGACCCACTGCAATTGTCCACGCCTGAGACAAATGGGCCCAGAAACCATTGTTTCCCTATTAGCTAAATGGGAAAGTTCATAAGGTTTCTTCCTTCCTGGTTCTCATTAAGTTCATGGCGCCAGGCTGATCCGTGTGAGGGCCTTGTAGAGGTTCAAGTAGCGAAGCCCACAGTCCAAAACCTTCTCAGCCTCTTGGGATGACCTGATCATGCAACAAGGGGCCTGGGGCCTGGTAACCAAGAAAAGTGTTGACTTCTCAGGAATGGACAAATACCTCCCACAACGCTCAATGTGACAAAGAAGATCGTTTCCGGCTGTCCTCGGCATCAAATACAAATAATTAGTTAGCGAGCCCTCAAGGATACTCTCAAGGATCACTTTTTCACATTCACCCCCAAGGCAGCCATGTTTCAAACATCCTGCTACCAACTGAAACTCATGATTGTAGGGGTGATTTGATGCAAGAACAGTCGATCGATCTGCCAGCCATGCACCAACGCAACGGCCGTTGTAAGCCTTGCAGGTCATCCACGGCTCGCCCATGTGGAAAACCTGGCCAAGCTCGCTTGAGGAGGTGCCCGGGATATTGGACATCGGTCCGATCACTGAGGAAGAACATGGCGTTTGGCCACGGGGTTTGGCCAGATTTAAACCAAGTAGCGGTTTTTTCACGGAAGGCTGGTTGCGAGGTGGAGACACGATTCTGCTTCTTCCATGCCTTGAAGTCGGTGAAAACAAGCTTCAATCCAGTCTTAAGTGGAGTGTCTCCCGGACACCAGAATTCAGCATGGTACAGAGCTAGCCTTAGCAAACCGATGCTGGGGGAAAA